GAGTTAAACTTTTATCTACTGTTAGTAAGATACTTTTTAACTGATGAAATTATCGAGACGATCAAGGCAGCAGAAATAACTTTGCGAAAGACTATTCAACTCAACAAAAGTCAGAACAGATTATGTACAAACTAAATATAATTCCTGTGTTTGTTATTATGGATTTTTTATTTGTAAGTTTCATTGCTCATTTTCCTTTATCACTGGTATTTTGGATTTTGATTACTATTCTGTCATTTGATATTTTATTGAACTTTCGTTGTAGTTTTATTGTTTTTTAATATATTTAATATGAGCCGAGATTTAACAAATTTTGGTAACTTGTCATCTTTGTTCAGTTTGGTTGCATTGGGTAAGGGTAATAAATTAACTAATAAATGGTTGAATAAACTTGAATTTTAGATCCTTTAAGATGAGTGTAAGAAAAGTAATGGGAGAGTTGTATCATTCCCAATATCAAGCTTTTCTTCTATAGCTTTAATAAAAGAGTTTATGCATTTCATTTTTATTTATAGACTTTAGTTTCCTTTTTTCGAGCTCACTATAGTGTACATTATGTTACACCTTCTAGTTCTCACAGTTTAGACTGCCTTTGTCTTTTCATTGGATTTTTGGGGACTTATTGAATTGGAAGGAATATTTTTGGTTGTTATTGGCCAGACAATCACATGAAGAAATTGGACAGTCACTGGTTTAGTGTTTTTGTTGCATTTGGGTCATACTATTGTGTGTGTGTATATACTGTGATAGAAGAACACCAGATGAAGACAGTTATTTAAAAGCTGAGGTTGAGATGTCTGAAGTAAGGTGTTTTATATTGTCTAGTGAATCTTGTATTGTGACCACATTAAAAAAAACTGCTGTGTAACCACAATAACAGCTTCAGTCAGGAAAATGTTTCTGAAAATATATGGTGCGGCATGAGTCCACTCGGAGATTACACAAAGAACTTAAAATTGAGAATTTCATTATGTTCACCAGAAGACATGCTCGATCATGCTTCTACTTTAAACCTCATTACATCATTTGTATGAGTAACTAAACTTTTATGTAGAACATGTATACAATCCCTTAACTCGATTCTATGAGTCATCCAGTTCTCTAAAAGATCGTCAAACTGATTCTCATCTAAAGATTTTAACAGTGAGTACTGAATTGTAGAGATTCGACATCAGATATTGCACCACATGTATCTCAGTCCACCCATCTCATGGGGAAACCTGAAATGTTTGAAGAAACGGTTAAGATCCTTTTCCGCTGTCTCCTTAAACACTAACTCCACATCACTATTGGTACAGATACACCTTCTGCTAACATCTATGTTGCTTGGAATTTTATAGTTTTTCTTTAACTCCTGGCCATCTAAATGCATTTAATGAATTCCTTTGACTGTTGGAACTGGAGGGTGAGGGAGAGAATATCTATAGGAGATGAAGATTACAGCAAGTATAATGATATACCATACCGTTGGGTGAGAGCGAAAGTTCATTGTACAATCTTAAACTACCTATGTACAATCAAGGGAAATAAACACAAGTCCATACCAACTTGTACAAATTTCTGTGCTAACCTTCAACTTGGGTATAATTTGCACCTCATAGGAGTGATAATTCAGAAGCAGGATCAGCCAATTATTAGCTGTTTATAATGTTAGTGTTATATGAAAGCCATTCGTGTTATAGGTTTGAACACAATGAAAAACGATAAAGGGTCACGGAGTGAAAATTTCAAAGCTTCAATCTTTTACCAATAAAGATTTAAGAAAAAAACCCAACCTAAATATTAAAAGTGTTAAATTTCCAATTCAGAATATGACTATAAAACACTTGTTTATTAAAACAGTTAAACTATTTATCGTCAATGTATTTGTAATTTAATATAGTATCTAAAAGCTACGAGGGCAACTTGTTAAGCCTAGTAGTCAAGCTTACGCGACTTTTTGCGAAGGCGTGCGCAAAGGTTTTGGTCAAAACTGAGCGGTTTTTGCTTAATAACTTTACACATGTGGCTTGTATTTAGATCAATTTTGCAACCTAATTGTAGGTTGTAAATATCTATCAGTGTACTAAATTTAAAGAAAAATCCATGAATGTTGAGTTTGTTTTTCCATCAAATAAAGTTTCCCTACATTCAATGAAAAAAAAGGAATAAATTGGAGATATTCTATCTCCTGTATTTCTTAATAGATTGTCTTAAAATTTTGTATGTGAAGTAAAAGTCCAGTAGAGCACATCCAATGAAAATATGTGATAGTTTGGTTTACCACAGTCCAAGTGGAAAATAGCTAAATTATCACTCCTGTTAATAACACATGCTGTGTCGTGCAGGTTCTTTTGGCCACATGACACACTACCATGTGTTTTGATAAAGCTAACCAATAACTACATTTCTGGAATGAAAACTTACAACTTGTACAACACATTATGGCCACGTAGGCTAAACATTTAGATCATAGAATCCTAATGTTTAGGCATAGCTGTATCTAAACTTAATCAACTCATCATAAATGACTTTGATTCCACGATGCTGTTGTGTTTTGAATTAATTTTAAACAAGGACTTGTAGAAGCTAAGGTCATTTAAGCATGTTTTAACAATTTCAGTGACAATTAAAAAATCAAAGTTATGTTTTTAATGCACAATATTTTATATAGATATAATTTTTATAGTTAATAAATTAGATATTTTGTATGAGTGTATTTGAAAGATATCGGAAAGTTCACAAGGGCGTCTATTGGTTTTTAATGCAATACTAATTTTATTTCTGAGGTAAAGTTATCATTTTTTAAGCTTAAATGCTTTTCGGATATTGTAATTTGAAACGTACGCTAGCAGCAGTGGAAATTGATGCTGTGAAGCTGCTCCAAAGCAACCACCAGGGTTCGTGATGGTCCCTTAGACTTCACCAAAGTATCTATCACCAGCACCACTGCAAGGTGTCACGGTGTCGCCACAATAGTTTTTGATAAAATAGCTTCGTTACACAAAATTATCGAAAATTCTTGCTGGGGTATACACTAATGGAAAAGTTTTCCAAAAGTGGGTGTACAATCTATGCTAATAAAATCTATGAAGTAATTCTTTGTCGATTAGGTTAGAAGTTGTTTTTAATACCTGAAAACATAAAATGTTCAACTAATGGACAGCAAGCAAACACTTTGTATTCGAGAAAAAATACAAGATCAATATAAGAATATACAATTCATCGTATTGGATGAAAATACCAATTTCATTTCTTGAGGGAAACAGTTTGAAAACTGGAATATGGATGAAGGCCCTTTCCAAGTTTATGAGTATAGTAAAGTTGAAAACTGGAATACGGATGAAGGATACAAAATC